GTTCCCGATATTATGATATTATATGATAGTTGCTAAGCGCGCAATTAATGGACTGAGTGCGAATCGGCAGCACATGGAAGAGTTTTTGTAAGTTTAATTATACCGTTCAAATATTACTATACCTTTGTATTTTTTGTTGAAAAATAAATTAAAAAAATATATACTGAAAATACAAAAAAAAAATATATATTTATTAGCAATCCTGTAAAAAATTGACATTTTTAACTGAGGGTAGAGTTGGTGCTCCCTACTTTTCAATAATGACTTTCTGTGCGGTCATTTACCCGCGCACACTTAGGTAAAGACTCATCTCTTTCTCAACAGCTTCATCATCGATTTCAATTAATAGCACCTCATCTGACAAAATCCATAAACGCGCAGTGACGTTCAAATTTAACTGCTCGGTCGTAAATTCGACGCATTCGATTCTATACTCGGTGCGGGTGACATAAAACCTGCATTGGCCCGCCTTTGTTTATGATTGTTTTTTTTTTTATATTTCTCACGATCAAACCGCAGTGTTGAATTCGCAATAGGTTTTGTACTCGTAACGTTTTCGGTATTTACAGGTCGTCAATAAAAAGTCGAAGGTTAGCGTCATCGATTGCTTGTCCCATGTTTATGAATTTAAATACTTTAATGTTTCGTGATAGATGTTAAATTAGAAATATATTAAATGTACTGGATAGTTTTGCGTGAGACTGATCAAGTAATCTTGTATACAATATTATAAGTTCTGTAAACATAATAATTACAAAATCAGAATAGGTACTACTACTCATTATAAATTATAATGAAGTCATATTTAAAAAAAAAAACGAATTAACTCAAGATTACGTTGACTTTTGTTATTACACAAACATCTTTAAGACAGTAAAATATATGTTTAAATTAACCAGTCTGTCGCCTTTATTACTAAGTTGGTATTGTATTGATCAGTTTCTATACAACAAAATACGTAAACATATCTTACCCTTTACTAACCGCGAGCGGGTCTTTCCGGCAGAACGCACTCAATTTTGGAAACAAACATGGTATTAGTTGCCCGGGTATTATTGGCCAAGGAATTAGCTAGCCTGCCACAGACGGCTTAATGAATCGTATATGAGCTATTGTGCTTAGGTACTTATTATATTGTGATTGTCAGAAACATGTAATATTATTTTTTTGTCGTAATAGCTGATCAAATATTGATTAATAAAAAACAAAGACGTATTACTAAGCTAAATGAGTATTTTCTAATAAAATATCTATATTATTTGTTATAATTGAGAAGAAGTCATACTATGTCTAAAAATAAGCAGCACGTTAGATACGAATATAAACTAGATACGACTACTATTGATTTATTAATGTTTGCTGTTAGAATCTGTTAAAATAAAGTTCAAAATTAATGAATGGTCTTTTTTTTTTCAGGTACATATTTATATTCTATCGATTCTCGCACGTGTAAGTAATACATCATTGTATAAACAATTATATTCAAAGGGTTTGCAGTTAAAGGGCACTCGAGCATTATGAATAGGGAATCCTCTATCCACTTTAATATTCCGGTATTTGTCACTCCATTGTTCCCGAAACTTTCAGCGTTCAACGAATAGATTCGGCGGAAGACTTAATTCTAAGTGGGTACAAATCCCCCTATATATCAAACCAGATAGTTTCTTAGGAACGAGCCTTAAGTACCCACTCGCGCACAAAAGGGTTGAATCGAGTTAATATTGGAGACGACCAAAATGTATTCATGCGTGATTTGCTTAATAAATCTGTTTAGCTTTAATTCGTATTGTTATTTTCATTTATTGAAGGCGGTTCGATGGGATACGCTTTCCGATAATATTAAAACAATAATGTTAATAATTTCCGTTTATATACCTTGTTTTAAATGCTGAAAAATAATAGTCTAATGCAAGAAGAACGTCAATTTTTTCTGTCATAATGAATTTTTATATTTACTTCTTTTTAAGTAACTAACAATTATTGGATCAGCAGATTGAATTATCTCGAAACTTTTAATCCCAGTCATGGGAACAAATATAGTAGAGTCCTGATTCCGGTTCGATTGGTAATTGGAAAAAAGACTTGACACATTTAATTGGTACTTTTAAATAATTATCAGTATATTAATGTCTCCGCTTTTGGTGTGTAGGCAAACAATGCCATTACATACGAAAAATGCACCTTACACCATGCGATCCTCGTTCCGATAAGGTGTATTTACACGGAGTCTTAAACGAGTCAAGCTGATGGCGAAATATACACTTCAACTTATATGGTTCAATATACGCTAGGTCATATCTGACTTGCCTTCATTTCAAAGTCAGTTAATAACCCCGTGTAAATGCTTCTTTAACGTGTGCACATGCGCATCTAAAGTTCACTTCATAGCACTGAGCTGAGCAGCTCTAGATAATACATTGGTATTTGCAACAGTTGCTTATTATTCGGAACAGCTAATCGAAAGAGAAACCACTGTGCTAGTGCCTTTTTATATAATACTAGTTTTTCGCCAGCGGCTTCGCCCGAATTCTCCCATATTATATACATAAATCTTTCTCTTTTATCACTCTGTATATTGACGAAAACCGCACTAAAATATATTAAGTAGTTTAAAATACCTACTAACATGCACGCTCTGACGTCCCTGTTTCAATTCTCGGTCGAATAAAGAAAATGAACTTTTCTATGTATGTGTAGAAGATTCTTGTGACTTTTATAAAAGTGCTGATTTAAAAAAAAATATTGTGAATACAATAACTTTGTGACCCTTCGTATTAATGCCAGTTGATTCGCCGCAGTAATGATGATTGATCATCGTCTTCCCCCAGTAATTATCACTTTATTGACTATTATTAACAGACTTGCTTCTATTTAAAACAGCTATTAAAATAGTAATTTGGATAACAGAGGTAGTCGCTCGGAAATGATTAATGGCAATTTTATTGGGATAACTCAACAACTTTTGTTACTTCAGCGAATAGAGTAGTTGCATACAGTATTCTTATTCTTTTCTTAATAGGTACTGCGGTTTCATTCGATTATTTTGGCAGATATTTGATTGATAATCTGCTTCCATTGTTCAGATTGAAAGATTAGTAACTGAAACCCTCATTTTATGGTGTATCTGACAACGAAGGTACCACAACATCCAGACCCGAGAACATGTAGAGAAGTCCTTTTTCTACATTGATCCTGTTATGAATAATATTCTTTTTGTACATAGTTTATACTTTACTAATCTTTATGTAAATATATTCTTTGTAGATTTTGTAATAGATATCAGTCAATATAGTTGACTTGCACCTGACCCTGGTATTACTTATGCTTCCCTCAGTCTTACCTATCCTATACTGAGCTATCGATAATATATCCGACCGGGAATCAAACCCGAGGCCACAGTAATAGCAACACATTGAAACCGGCGTGCAAACCACTCTACTACGGAGTTCGGAGATGGAATGCTTCGCTAGCTAAGATATAAATGTTTGATCAGTAAAAAACCAATAATTTTCACCAACTTCACTGATTTACCGAGTGTACACCTAATATTTTAATCTTTTTTGCACATTTCTCATTGTTTTGACAACGGAAAACCAACCTTACATCATTACCCAAAGGTCTTGTATTACGATAATTTTGCAAAACAACTATGTCGACCGTAATGTGGGTATAGTATGCGTGGTCACGATCTCCTTCATCACTCTTATCGTCCTAGCCGGGGTTCGAACCCGCGCCCGTATCTGCCCATACTGGCATTGTCGATAACATCGCGACTTATTGCAACATACGTAACGGAAAAAACTTAGGGGTAACCCGTGAACGTTAGCGGCTTCGATACATTTTCTTATCGGTTCTCTTTGTTTGCTTTAGTATCATATAAAATTGGCATAGTACTTATATTTACACTGTGAAGTAGGTGTCGTTAATAAATTAAAGATCAGTGATACAATGTAGGGAAAATAATGATCAAGTGTATACTAGACTCAACAGTGACCGTGTCTGTGCCTTTTTAAATACTACTGATATCTAAAGGTTATAATAAAAGAGGATAATAAAAAGTCTATTTTCGAAATGTTAATATGACTCCAAAGAAATGCATTTTTGAATAATTTATGATGCGACGGCTGTAGGTCCTGACACTGTCTTTAATACATGAATAATCTTCACGGATATATTTTAGCAAAATTTTGAAAATGATTCGAAAATTTCTGAATTTTCTTTCGAGGACGTTAAAATATCATGATATATGAAATATCAATATCAGTTTTCATGTTATTTCGTAAGAGATAATTTGTGATAGCGGCCAAAGTAATATGTGTTCTGTTCTACTCACAGATTTCGATTTAAAACTGATAAAGACGTATACGATTCAAAAGATACACGATGTAATAGACAGGCAAACCGATAGACTTATTGACGTCATAATTTGTCGTGATAGGTGTCAAAATAACACGTGTTGTATTTTATATTCTATATGTATGTTATGGTTTGAAATTAATATTCTTTATTATAATAACACTCCTACATCGTGCAACAGTTTTACTTACTATTCATCCATAAAGACTTTCGGATGTTGAAAAGAATGAATGCAAAACTATAAAGCAGTAAATTCGGAGTAGTAATAAATATAACAGAATTAATACGAACACACGATAACACAATAAATAAATAGTATATTATTCAACACAAACTTTATATCTGATTAGGTGTCGATGATGGTGTGATCTGAGCAATGTATATGATACGACATCTTCTTTAGGTATTATCTCGATTTGTGTTTGCAGATAAAAGAAATATACCCCACACACATAAAACTTGATATTACCAAAATCAGTCTATCAGTCACCACTATGTTCAGAAAACTATGTTCCTCTAAATATCAAGAAAAATTTCAAAGGCGATAGATAAAGAAAAATGATAGTCCGTTTCAAAGATGTTTATCTTTAGACCGGATAAAAACTTCGTCGTTTTCATCCTTTGGAAGTGTATTAACGTTATACCATCAATCATATAAGGCAACAGTCTACCTCTGCGCATTATTTTCAACAACTCCTGTTTTATGTCAATGCTATAATAAGTCCCATTGAAATTTAAAACAATATAATAGCAGATTTCTACGTAATTAATCATCCTTGCTTAACGTAGTTCGTCAAACCATATAGACATTCAGTTTCGGGTCATGATAAACTAAGGAATCAAAATTGACGCATAACATCTGTTGCAAAAGATATCATATCATTTCAAGAGCTAGATACATGATAATTCAAGTATTTATTAACTGCCACTTGCAACATTTCTTATTTATTTATCGATATTAGTTGGAAGTACAGGTATTGCCATGACAGTCGTAAATGTTGATCAGTTAAAAAACTATGAAGAATCGAATCCAGTACGCAACAGAAAAGGAAAATCGGTCAAAAAAATGTGCAATGAAAAAGTTCTAAAGAAACGTGTGCCAATTATAGGTTGGTTACCCAAGTACAACTTTGTTTTCTTCTTGCAAGATATTATTGCCGGTGTGACAGTAGCATTGACTGCTATACCACAGGGAATCGCTTACGCTGTCATAGCTGGACTTCCACCTGAGTATGGACTGTACGCGTCCTTGGTAGACGGTGTCATTTATTTAATATTTGGAAGCTCTAAAGATATAACGGTGGGCCCTACAGCAGTTATGTCATCATTAGTAGCAAAATACACCGGATATTCTCAAGACTTTGCTGTTCTATCTGCTTTTCTCTCAGGTTGTGTGATACTGTTAATGGGGATATTCCATCTCGGATTTTTAGTGAATTTCATATCGAAACCTGTTATCAATGGTTTTACGACGGCAGCTGCATTCCAGATTGCCGCTGCACAATTGAAAGCATTCTTTGGTTTGGATGGTGCCTCAGGAAATTACTTCGCCGAATCGATGTCAAACTTTATTTCTAATATAAAAACAGCTAGACTTTGGGATCCAATATTAGCATCAGTCACTGTAGTAATGCTTTTCATGTTGAAACGCCTTGGGAATGGATGCTCCCGTACAGATGGATTTACTAAACAAATGAGATGGTTTATATCAATGGGCCGAAACGCTGTAGTTGTGATCTTTGGAATGTTCGTGGCTTATATTCTGAAAATTACTACAAATAATGAACCGTTGAAATTAATCAGAGATATTGGCAGTGGCTTACCGACAGTGGGACTACCACCATTCAGTACATCTTCTGGAAACACCACGTATAATTTCAATGAAATGTTAGAAGTTTTAGGTCCCCAATCATTAGTTTTACCATTAGTAGCAATCCTGGAATCAGTAGCTATTGCGAAAGCTTTTGCTATAGGAGGCAGAGTTGATGCTACGCAAGAAATGATTGCTGTCGGCCTGTGTAACATTGGTGGTTCATTTTTCAAAAGTATGCCTATTACTGGCTCTTTTACTAGGACCGCTTTGAATTACGCGTCGGGCGTGCAAACACCGGCTGGGGGAGTTTGGAAGAGTTTAGTTATTGTAGCAGCTCTATCGTTATTAACGTCTGCATTTTATTATATACCCACGGCGTCATTAGCTGGTTTGATAATGACAGCTATGTATTCAATGGTAGATTTTGGAATATTCGCTAGATTTTGGAGGAACAGTAAAATAGAATTAATGCTAATGTTAGTAACGATGGCAGTGTCTTTATTTATTGGTTTGGAGTATGGTATTGTTGCTGGTATTGCTCTGGAATGTCTCATATTATTGTATAATACATCTAAACCTAAAATTACAGCAAATTCAATAAGAAGTGATAGTAGTGAAATCGTAACTGTCACTCTCAGTGATAGTTTGTCTTATTGTGCTGCGGAGCATGTGAGGAAATCAATCATTGAAGCATCAAATAATGCGGCTCCCGATTCTGTTTTAGTTATTGACGGGGGAAATCTCCATAGAATGGATTCCACTGTAGCGATTAATCTCATGAATTTAATAAAAGAATTCGATAAAGATTCTAGGACAGTAGTATTACTTAATTTCAAAGAAGACTTAGTGAAACTATGTACCGATGTTGAGCCTAAACTAGGAAATAAATTTGTTAAGTCCAATAAACCTCTTGATTTTATAGAAGTGTCCATTAAAAATGCGTAATAATATATTCCAGTAATTTTTTTTGGGGGCAGTGATATGTTTTCGCTTTGTTATTCTCTAAATGTATATGTCCATTTTTAGTTTTCGCTAGGCAAATATAGCTAAGTTAGGCTGATATTTAAAGTTCAGCGTAAATCTTACGGAAATTCTGTTAAGTGTGTCACGGAAGTATACGAAGTATGCAGAAGGTTTGAATGAATGTTATAATTATTATCCGTTATGATGTTCCGTAACGGGTCTTACATCAAATATACTCAAACCCATTAGGGTTAAAATCACAACCTATTCAGGTTATATTTACTTTATTGAAATTGATTTAAGGTGTATTATAAGAAAATCTACCAATTATGTTATATGAATTTTTCCTTTGTCTAGCTTTTATTTTATTATTATTGTATATATAATTAAATTTATTTTAATTAATTTTAAACAAATCTTGACCAGATCTTAAGTTAGTAGGTAGGTTGGTATATAATTAATTGTGATAGTCTAAGAAAATTAATATTTCAATATGTTAACCATAGATCACGAAAAAGCCTAAAATATCTTATATACTCGTATATTTATTAATAACTCATTTCAGAGTATAATTCAATATTATATGAAAAAAAAAAAAATTTACCCACTAAGATCAATGCAAACATTAATTTTATTTACTTCCTAAGAAACATTTTGTAAATAATAAACAATTTCATACAGTTGAATAAGTCTATTTCACTATGAACTCACCGACTCCATATTTTTTCACTAATAACTCAATATTTATTTGTAGAAAACTAACGGTAATAATTTTTACAATACATACTAGTATGCTTTAATTTTTATAAATTAATTTTAGGTCAGCATTTTAGGTTCACATCTTCATAATATATTGAACTATAATAGTACTAATTTCATTCAATAATCCGCTTAATACTAATTCGAGTACTGGGATGACCCATCACGCGAGCTCAGTGCAGTTCGATGGGTGTTGATGACTGCAGATGCAGTCGAAACAGCCGTGCCTTAACATGCCTTTGTTATACGAAGAAACTTGAGATAAAATATTTTTAGTATGACAACCTGCACCATCGAGCTCCTCAAATATGTATGGAATGAAATCCATATCTTTCCACAATTAATGATATTCGTATATCAGTAGTCATGTTTCATGTCATATGTGCCTTATGGTCTATTTAAATTACGACTCAACACTTTATATTGAAATTACACTGAAATAATATTGAGAGTTAACAACTCAAGATTATGTGACGCGTCAATTTCTCCTGAAGAATCCAACATAATACCGTCTTTTGCATATGCTTCGATTATATTACATTTTCGCTGATGCATTCAATAATCGACCCCTTGGAGGGACAAGGGAACGCGGCCTTATCGCAAATTTTGGCCCCTCGATATTTCTATTGCTCAGTTGATCGCGTCAAGGAGGGGTGTCAACCAGTTCCTGAAATTTATTAACGTGATTCAGCAATCTTGTGACAGATTTGTTTGCACTCCCGTTGGGATATATTTAGATGTGTGACACCACCTGAAAGGAAAAAAACTAATGGAGTTCTAAATTCGAAAATTAAAAGGGCTCCAATATTTTACCTGCAATTCCAGATCTGGGTACGTTTGACCCTAGGGCAATTACCGGGTGTATTGATGACGTTTGTAGTGTTACAACTTTAGTAGTATCAGGTACGCATCTCTTCAAAAGATTATATTTACTCCATATATCAGATGTTATTCGTTAATTCGTTCACAATAACCTTTTGAAATGTCTCTATATATTTCAGAATTCTGTTATGATTAGGTATATGTAACCCGAAACTCTACGAGATTAAATTATTTAATTAGAAACTTAAATACACGGCAAATAAAACTTCACATCTCCAGTAGCAGAGTTGCTAGTGCGTTGGTTTTAAGGTGGTTCCATCTCTGAGGTCGTAAATTCAGTTCTCAGTCGGGTCAAAGTACAATGTGTTTTTTATATTATCTCTGGTCTGGATGGTGTGTTACAATCGTTATTATTTCAGATTTCCATAATACAAGTTCAAGTTCAGTTACTTAATTTTTTAGGGCATGAGCAATCAATGTGATGTTAAAAGGCTTGTCAAAAGGAAGATAGCGAAACAGTTAAAAATAAAACGTTTATTTTTGCTACATGTTTACATAATTAGATAATGTGCGCCTCTAAAATTTTGTTAGTATTCATGTGTAATTTCCTAGTAATAATTAAAAGAACTGAAAAACTGTCTCTCGAATATCTAAAGGCGTCTATCAGGCGTCGCCACATTGCGAGGCTACTTCCCGAGGCATACCTTGCGGTGTCGAAAAGAGATTGTTTTAAATTGGGCGCTCCAAGAGGCTGCCTCTCGACTTCTGCTCAAACATTTTCGTGGCTGTGGATCCACGCCTTAAAAGAGCTGTATGCGCAAAATATCTTCATGATAAACTGTCGGCTTTAGTTCCAGACTGTCAGATGCAGACACAAAATTCATACGCTATTTGCAAACATATCACTGGAATTTCATCTCGCTTATATTGCTGATATATTTGATCATGACAAGCTCGTTATGTATTTTTATTTTATTATCAGTATTCATGTATGGGTCTTATTATCCATAATTATGAATGGAAAAGTGTCTGATTGTTTGTTTGTTTTTATTAGCTTTTATATAGGCTGCTGTGGTCGGTAGTGTGGGTCAAATATTGCAAGCTTAATTTGCCCCACTTGTTGGCTTTTGATTGAGCTGAAAATTTGAATGGACGAATAATGAATGAATAAATTCTCTATTATACACCATAATTATAGAACACGACAATTGATAAACACGGTTTAGTTGTATAACCAGCGGCTTTATCGCTTTAAAGCAATTTTTTCCAGGCAACCACGGATTAGACAGGACAATTACATATATAACATTGATGATGATGCAATATTTATACACCGTTATCAATCTTATATTCCTTATAAGATTGATAACATATTTAAAAAAAAATGTCTAAAATTTGTACTACCTAATTTTAAAAAAGTAGATATTAATGTTAATATAAAAGATAAGAACATGGGCTTTGTGGATACCACAGTATTTTTGGGAATAACATTATATTCTAAACTACAGTGGGGCCCACATATTGATAAATTGTCGAGTAGACTTAGCTCTGCAGCATATGCCGTAATGAAAATACGTAGGTTAACTGACATAGATACTGCCAGATTAGTATACTTCAGTTACTTTCATAGTGTGATGTCGTATGGAATCCTATTGTGGGGAAATGCTGCCGACGTACAAACAATTTTTGTACTTCAGAAAAGAGCAATTAGATCAATTTATAATCTTAGGATTAGGGACTCTTTAAGGGAGAAATTTAAGGAAATAGGCATAATGACTGTTGCTTCTCAATACATATACGAGAACTTAATGTACGTTCGTAAAAATATTAGTTTGTTTTCTATAAAAAGTGATGTACACAATATTAATACAAGAAATAAAAATAAATTAACGGTGCCTGTCACTAGACTACAAAAACTTAATAACCCATTCAGTGGTCTTTGTGTGCGCTTCTACAATAAGGTCCAATACAACAATTAGATATCATGCAGTTTAAATCTACTATTGAAATAATACTTATTAAAAAAGCTTATCCGATTATATAACAGATAAGAACGCTTGGACTTAAGATGATCCAGCAACTGGATAGGTGATTACTTCTTAACTCATTATCTTGTTTCCATTATTATTAAATGATTATGTCTATGTATTAAATGATTATCTCTGTTTTTAATGTATGAATCTGGTAATGACATGGTTTTTGTAAATGTCATTACTCCTATTAGAGCTGGTGAGTTTCTTGCTCGTTCTTCTTATCAGCCAAAAGACGTCCTAAACGAGCGGTAGGGAAAAAAATGTTGGACATTTCAAAAGTACTTTTAAGAAGTCTATTTGAATAAAGATTATTTTAAATTTGACTTGACTTTGACTTTGACTTTGACCATGAAGCCAGAAGGTAGTAGTTGTAATTAAACAAAGAAATCCCATTAGCGCGATCGTTTTGTCTTGATAAAGAATTTACTTTGAAATTATATTCAGGTATGACGATAAAATTAGATGGTGGCTATGGAACTTTGTAATCAAATAATGCAACCACTTCGAGTTTGGACTCGTTTGTTTTGTCCTTACAAGATCTATAGTCCAAAAAATCTTGTCCTCAATTGGAAAATTAATTTTGGATTATTTTCACACCGGATAGTTTATTTGTTGAAAAACGTTATTCTTTTTTTTATATTGGGTAAATAAATGACTGGAACCGCGGTGCATATACGGTTGACTTAAATATGAACGAAATAAATATATCTGAACAACTATAATCCAGTCAAGTGGATGTTGCTATATTTAGGCCACTTCAAATCGGATGAGGTTCTTAAGTTTTTGGTTTTCCTCCAATCGTTTTGTTTTTTTTTTTTATGATGCTATATCTTTGTGAATATTAATATCGTATCGTAAAATCGTTTTTGCAGTTTTTTTAAGTTTCGCAAAAAAAGGAAAACTGCTCACTTATTATGATCATTCGGTTGTCTGTTTGTTATTATCAAATTCCCTCCAGGCTTTGAAATCTGGTACACATTTGAAGATCGATGATCCAAAGATAGCCGTAAAGCGTACCTGTATAATTGAATTTGTATCAAGGCTGGAAATTAGAAAAATCACAAAACAATATTTCACACTCCTAAAAAACACAGCACATTTAAAGAAGCGGATGTAGATCTTGCATATAAAGTGCACTTACCAAGATATCAGCAGTATAATTAATTTTCTTCAAATTCATCTCTTTTAAATAAAGTTTTGAAGTTATTTTAGAAATTTAACGAAAAATGACCTTGAGCGAAAACTTAGTTTAGTAGAATTATTTTAATTCAGATTTCTGCGCATTTTTTTTCATATACCAAAAACAAAACAGTGCACACCTGATGTTTATACCGCGCTGTTGTGATTTACAACACTAATTAAATTACGTTAAAAGAAAATTCGGACTGTCAAAGCGAATCATAAAGTGAATTTACGATATTCGACGATCGTAACAGGAACGAAATCAGTACCTGTTTGTATATTTCGTTCGTTAGTTTTGTTTCTGAATAGAAAATAAAAAAAATGTTTCCTAATAATTTAGGACAATATATATTCACACTTTAAATTAGAGTTTAGAAAAGTAAATATATATTACAGTTTATTACAATCAAAAAAATAACAGGTGGAAATTATAAATTAAAGTTAAGGTTAGACGTCTCGGCTTTTTTGTTTTGACAGTCAACAGATGGCACTTATGTTTTATTCAAATTCGCATTTATAAATATATACCAACCTATTACCCACGTCTACATATCTATATATAATATATTTTGCGTCACAAAATGAGTTAATATCTTTCGTCAGATCATTGATCCTCATATTGGGGCAGATAAATGACTCCAGGAACATATCATACCACCTGAATATATTTTTGACTTTATCTATTCCGCCGTGTGGCAATGACACGTCAAATCAAGTGGAAATAATGGTTGAGCGAACACACCGCTGTTGTCCCGTGCACCAAAACTTTATGACCCCTTAACGGCTCTCAACTCTTAAGGATTCCAAAATCGAAAGCTCGAATCCAAGCTCTAAATAAATTGGCCAGGAAAGTGAAGACGCCCGGTAGACCCGTGATTTCTTTTTTGTATAAAATTTCGTCCTTCTGAATAGAAAATAGTTTCCAGATGATTACTCCTGGCGTTACGTAGTGATTTGTTGCAGAATACGTCACCTATGAAAGATTCCGGCTTTTGTGATGCGATTATGGATGGTTGGTTGACGATATTTATTTCGGCTCGCTGTTAAGTTTTCCGTCTATAGACAATAAACATTTACCTCAC